TAGGGGCTCGCTGCTTTTTGCGGTGTACGCTAATAGAAAGCAGTTGAGCATCTGCCAGGAGAGCGCGGTGTAAAAACAAAGCCTGATTTGGCTTGTTTTGATTTGGCTTGTTTTTGTTTTTTAAAACCTGTGTACCCGTCGAGAAAGGCCAGCACTTGAGAGGATCGTCCCCTTGTCTTTCAAGGGGCGTACTCTTACGAGGAAGCTGTTCCCGGGTTAGCGACAACTCCTCAACTGTCACTTGTCTGCAGCTTTCCATAGCTGGACTTGGAAACCCTCCTTGGGATTGCGTTGTTACCTGTATGTCACCAAGTGACAGCTTACACGTCACTGTAAAGTTTTTTTTTTTAGAATTTTTTTCTTTAGAATTTAGCAGTAAAGATAAAGAATTTATAAAACAATTTCAGGGAGCTTGTGACTTGGATGCAATCTTAAATGTGATTTTTAATCCTTTTAAATTCTGCTGCTGCTTCTTAGTGGGAACTGAGAGATTGCGTTTAATTTTACAAGTACTGAGGACAAGACCAAAAGAACTGAGGGGTTCATTGCCTGCATTATGAGTCATGGCAAGGTGCAGTGACATGTTTTTAATACTACTGCTGTGTTTTATTTTTAAAACACTTAATATTCCAGGACCTTAGGATGAGTCTAGCCTTCCTGCTCTTTCCTCCAGTGTCTCACTGCTGTAAATATCATTGATCTTAGTCTTTCCTTTCTCACTCATACCGCCTCCCTGTGCAAGTGTCAATTCCTCTGCCCCCATGTCACATCATTCAAGAGCCTTGGTCTTGGTTTCAGTATCTGTGATGTCTATTTCAGTGATCTTGTTCTAGAAAGATATCAGCTCACTTTAATAAACTCTTCTAAAAGCACTGTATTTTAAAGTGCAATCCAGAAGTTCCCGGTAGGAAAACTTCCTGAATTTTGTACTTCTTTACAGAGAGTTGCAGAATTAAAAGGCACAAAGCAGACAGCAGCTGGTTCATCTGCTAGCACATCATCTCATCCTGTCAAGAGAAAAACCGTTGACACAGAAAACACGGAGTTAAAGAGAGTAAAAGGTAAGGAGAGAAAAGTACTTCAGGCGTTTGCCAGAATGTAGCCATTTTACATCTTGAATGTTTCTGGCTTGATGTTTTTCCCCGTGGAAGTGAGTGTGAATACACAAGACTGTTGTTGAGTTAATGTCAGCCTGTTGCTGCTGGAAAGGGAAAAAGTCTGTCTTGCTCTTATCTGTGAGTTTACTGATCAGGAGAAAACTGCACTTTTGGTAGTTTACCTAGTTTTCTTCGGGGTTATTGGGTTAAATTATGTGACGAAGCTGTGGGCTTGGTCCAAGAAGAACCAGAAACAGTATAAATTAAACAGTACAACAGTAAAATAAACAGTAAAAGTTAACGCTTGCCCAAAAGTGGTGTTACTCATTTACAGTGGGATCAAGCCCCACTGCATTACCTCAAACCACACATGAAAGTTCATGCTAGATAGTCAATTTTTTTCCCTTGATGCTAGTAAACATGTAAATATATGAAAGCGTGCATTTGTGAACTTGCTGCTGTTAGTGGGAGTCTGTTTGAGTGAGATTTCTTTTAAAAGCATGGATTGTAAGAAGCGACTCTTGGCTGTTATACAGGTACAGACGAAAAGCCACATACATCTACATCTGGGTAAGTAGATCTTAACTACATATGAGTTTTTTGTAACTGTACCAACTGCTGCATTTTCACCCTGTTCTTCCTCCTCTCTCCTTCTTAGACAAGGGTAAAGATTCAGAGAATCAGCAGATCCCTGCTTCTTCTCATTTTCTAACATGGGTGTATATTCCTGAACATGGCAGCATCTTCCTCAGTGCAGATGAGAAAATCATGGTCTTAACTCTACAATCTCTGACAAAACAGGAGTTCTTTTACTGCACTGTCAGACTTTTAAGGATTAATATGTGATGGTATTATGTGGTTTGCTAGAAGGAAAATAACTATAGATTGTGGCATGCACCCTAATGCTAGCATACTGCAGAAGGGAGAGTAGTCTGAAATTAAGAGAAATTTCAAATATATATTTAAATGATATTTAGTCACAAAAACTGCTGGCAAATGTCATCAACAGATCTTTATTAAGATGTATAATTCTTTTAAGAAGAATGTTTAAAAGTCATGTAAATGCATGTCATGCAGTTGAACTTTCACAAATATAGGAGTGTATTTGACTTTAGGGGATTGGCTTAAGCATCTTACTACCACTAAAGATTTCTGATGGTATTTGGACATCTTTGAGGGGTTGGTAGATGTCACACGAGACCTGCAGGTTTCCTGTACGCTTCTTCCCAGGATAAATTATTATTATCTTGCATAGATGCTACGTGCTGTTACCTTGATAGTAGAAGATGCCTGCCTTGTAGAAATTTTGAGTGTGTGTGTGCACAAGTAACAGTTGAGAGGTTTGTTCATTATTAAACTGATTGGTATGATTATTTTAAAATATAACCTGTAAAAATGTTTGGCTTGGAGGCCTGCAGCTATTCTAAGCAAATCTGTGTTTTCTCATTGTTGAGCCTGTGTGGCTTTTCTGAACTGTAGTTCTGAGTAACAGTAAGTACCCAAAATAAGTAGTTGTGTTATACATGAAGGTTATCAAGGTTTACGTGACATTAGTATGACTGCTGAACTATGAATTTTGTATTTAATATGTTCACAGCAGGTATACAGATGCAAACAACTTTACAGAAATAAAATTACCTAAGCAGCTATTCCTCCAAGTGTACTTTGTTATGGGATGTTTTTATTAATGTTTCTGATACTGAATATTCAAATACAAAAATGGAAGCGAAATATGTTTTCAGAATTAACCTGAGCATTTCTGGTGGACTTGAAATGAAAGCAACAAATACGTGCTGCCTTCAGACAGTGGTTACATCAGTAGCTGTGCAGATTAAGATATTGCACAATATCTAGAAGGACGTATTGCGCACAGATTGGATAGGCTTTGGATGCTAGACTGTAACTGATTTTTGTGAAGTTTGAAATAGTTATGTTGTATGTTCTTTACTAGGCTACCAGCAGATTTTTTTGATGAAACGGAGCAAGATAGTGTGAACAAACAGCTTTCAAAGGGTCCAGGTCCCAGTTTATTGTCAGGAAATTATGATGATGATGATGATGAAGAAGAAGAAGAAGAAGAGGAGGAACAAGATGAATCAAACAAATCTTCTGTTACGCATAAAACTGAAATTCCACCTCCAACTCAAGAAGTAATAGCTAATTCTCTGCCTGCAGGTAATGTTGACTGAAATAGTTAGTGATCCCTTAAGGAGAAGCTGTATTTTAACTGATGATGGAAAGGTTTTAATTTATTTTTCTGTTTATTGCTATTAGCTGGTTAGGGTCTGTAATACTGAAGTAGAGAAAAGAGATTCTTTGCTAGTTTGCTATTGGTGTGGTGTTTTCTCAGCATACTTATTGGTTTTATGTTCTAATTGTTTGAGGCTGTCAAGTGAAATAATGTCTGGCTGTTCTTCCCTTGATTCAGTAAGGTATTAACTGAAATTCCTGTCTAGTCAGAATTTTATAAACAAGATTGAACAGTTGTTCTTTTTGTTCATAGGCTTCTGTCCTTTCTTACAGACTTCTTTGACAGCAAAACTACAGCTGCTCCTATAGTTTCCCATTCAGGATCCATACAGAAAGCAGAGATACAAGAGAAGATAGTGGAAAGGTAAGCAGTCAAATCAAATATTGATGGATTTGGGAATTGTAAATAATCGTTATTCTTCCAGGAAATACAGACTTGGAAATTTTGGAAATCACTTGGAAATCTGTCATACTGTTAACTTGTATTTGCAATAGTTTGTATATATGTCAGCCTCTAGCATTATTTCTGACGGATATTTCGCACCCTAGGGGCAGGATAAGAGGTGGAGCAATGCCATAGAGTGTCTGTTAGACATCTCTTTGTAAATTAGGATACTTTGGAAGCTTAATGTCAACCACTGCTTTTAATTGTTTAAAGAAAACCATTTGCTTGTTCTGTAGTAATGGTTCAGCTCACTTGAGCACATTTTTAGAGAGTGGTTTAGGCTTTCAAAAGTAGAGACTGTGCTGTTAAAATGTTTGGGTGCTCAGCACACTAGAAACAATAGTTTAAGAAGCCTAAGCTATAGCTTTTGTATTGACAGTGAGATTTAAACCTGTCTGTGCAGTTCCTTTTAAGTTAGGCAAGATCAAACTGAAGAAGCAAGTTTTGATGGTTGTAGGTAAAACTCAGGGTGTAAAAAAACTTGCTCCATTTCTAGGTCCTTTTATAAAAGATACAAATTTTATTCCTCACTATTTCTAACTCTACAATAAAGCAGGCTGTAAAGCATTAACTTCAGATAATGATAATGAAACATTTCAGGAAAGAAAACACTGCTGAAGCTTTGCCAGAAGGTTTCTTTGACGATCCTGAAGTGGATGCAAAAGTAAGTGGTCTGCTCTTTTTATGCTGCTGGTTTTATTTTTGCTAGTTGTAATGATTTTCTGCGTAGTAAGGATCCTTTTCCAGATAATGAGTCATGCCAGAATATAGAAAAATGATTGAACTATTTAGAATAAATGATTTCAGTTGGAAGGCACCTACAGTGATCATTTAGTCCAACTGCCTGACCAGTTCAGGGATGACCAAAAGTTAAAGCATGTTAAGGGCCTTGTCCAAATGCCTCTCAAACACTGACAGGTTTGGGGCATCGACCACCTCTCTAGGAAGCCTGTTCCAGTGTTTGACCACCCTCTCAGTAAAGAAATGCTTCCTCATCTCCAGTCTAAACCTCCCCTGGCGCAGCTTTCAACCATTCATTCTGTATTAATTAGAAAACATGAAAAAGGGCAGAGGCAGGCAGGAAGAGCTTGTTAAATCATCTCTCAGGTGTTACTTTTTAATTGTGCTTCCTTTGTGGCTCTTAAAGAAAACAAAATAAATGTTATTTGTTGATTAAAATGCTGGACTGAGGTTTGGACAATCCACCTGTTACTTTTATTTCTTTGTGTCATCCCAGGAGAAGCATTTAACCTAATTTGTATATCCAATTCTGCTTTGGAATTGAGGATATATAAATAGTTCTCTAATGTACTTTGAGAGATCCTGTTGAAAAGTGTTAAGAGTTGCTATGTGACTGATACTATACATCCTGTTAGAATGAAAGTGGCTAGATTATGGCATACACTGTAATCTCTAGTACTGGCATCCTACAAGAGTGAATTTGGTCTTTAGCCCTCTTGTCTTTTACCACTACGGAGTTTTTTGATGCTCGGAAAATAAAAAGAAATGTGGGCATTCAACATGTTTCTCAACCTCCACCTCCCACCACTAAAAATCTTGAAATTTTGATCAAAATTATTCATAGTTCCTTCAATTTGCACGGTACCAAATGATGACCAAAATAAACACCGATATTTGAAATACAAACCTTTTGTGTTTTGTTTTGTAAAATTTGCCACAGATTTGATGGTTTTCCTGCTTTCTTTATTGAAATAGTGTTGTAGGCTCAGTCTTTTTTATTTTCCTTGAGTATATTTCCCTGTTGTTCACACTGTGGAAGGCTGCTGGTGTATTTAAATTGCATTGTGAGGTCGAACCATGACTTCTGGTTTGGAGACCTTCCAAATAATGCTTATAGAATCATAGAATAGTTTGGGTTGGAAGGGACCTTTAAGGGTCATCTAGTCCAACCCCCCTGCAATGGGCAGGGACATTTTCAACTAGACTAGGTTGCTTAGAGCCCCGTCCAACCTGACCTGGAATGTTGCCAGCGATGGGGCAGCTACCACCTCTCTGGACAACCTGTGCCAGTGTTTCACCACCCTTGTCGTGAAAAATTTCCTCCTTCTATCTAGTTGAAATCAGCCCTCTTTTAGTTTAAAACCATTACCCCTTGTCCTATCGCAACAGGCCCTGCTAAAAAGTCTGTTCCCATCTTTCTTAGAAGCCCCCTTTAAGTACTGAAGAGGGGCTTACATATACATGCTTCTTTATGTTCAATTAGTCCCACTGTCCCGGTTACAAGCTCAGGTGTCTCTTACTTGCTATGGCAAGATTCTTTTGGCACCACTCATGCCCATATGTTGGCATATGTGAATAATTTCGAATAATGACATCTTTAATATTGAAATATGTAGCTGAAAAAGCCACACTTTTTATTTTTTGCATATGACTAACTGGACTATTAAATTTTTCAAATACTTCATTTCACCATGAGCTGGAAGCTTGTACAAAGTGGGAATGTCTGGCAGGCAAAGGAGAATCTGCTTATATCTGTGAAGACACTGGTTAATGGTCTTTGTTCTGGTTATTGCCTCAGCTGATAAAATTTACAAGTGGATACATGTTCCAATAAGCTCTTCCTTGAACTGCTTGCAGGTGCTCTTCTTTTTCATCAGCTCTTTCTAAGTTTAGCTAATATGCAGAGGAAGAAAAATGTTTGTGTCATCGCTTATATTGAGATGGCTGCAGTGATTCTGTGTTGGAATCATACACAAAATAATTATTTTCAGAATTGACAGTGAGCATTTGCAAGGGAGATTGTGGGCTTGAAAAATGTTCGTTCTTTACATCAGGAATTTATAAAGGATATAAATTCTGGATTAGATAAATATTCCAAGGAAAAAGTAGTATCTTTAGTGTTTAAATTTATTTTAAGAAATACAAATAATTATGAATTACAAAAGACAACCACAATGCGTAATAACACAGTACATACACATATGATAGAAATAATCACAGAACAGAAGAATGAAATGATGACTATTACTTCCCAGTACATAGTTTGCTTGGAAGTTTGCTTCTAATTTATTCTATAAACTTAATTCATACTACTGGATTTTGTATAACTGTTCAGGAACAAAACGTACCAAACTATTGTTTTTACTATCGTGATGACTGATGTGTTACCAAAAGAAAGGATTAAATAAAGGAAGAATAAAACTAATGCAAAAAGATGGTGTCATGAATTACTCTGTTCAAACTGCTCAGTTCTCCTAGCTATATAATTTCGACCCAGTCCAGAGCCAGGCATAATCTGTCATCTAACATATGCCACATCGTCCAATCTTGAATTGTGGAAGTTTTGGTTACACAGGTGTAGATTATCTTGTATATTTGCTTGTATTAAAAGCACAGTCTGGTTTTGATTACCTTAGTTGTAGATCTTAAACACATTCTTACAGCTACTACTTTTTCAGTTTTCTTGTCTTAGTAATTAATGCCATCTACCACAGAAGAAAAAGCTTTGCATTTCCTTAGAATTGGTATGTAGCTGTACTATTTCTTCTGGCAGCTAATAAAATTAGACTAGATTTGGAATACAGTCATACTATCTAACAGCAGTCAGACTAGTGACTGAATAATTTGATATTTTACGTTATGCCAAAGGCAAATAATTGACTGCTTTTTGGCTTGTGAGATAGCTACTATATTTGACTGAACAGGCAGCTTAGAGAAGAATTTAAAAGTTATCATCTGACATAGTGAAATTGCAGACCATCAAATTAACAGACATAGTCACTTTTTTAATCCAAACATTCCACACCATCCATTCTTAGTCAATTATTCTTTAATGCTACAGGAGCAGAGTCAGATTTTTTGCCTCCAAAACCATTGTGCAGCTGTGCTCTCTTGTTCATATACATTACTTAAACTCAAGTACATTGACCAGACTTTTCTGAGAACACAACATAATTTGTCCTATCTCTCCAGGTGTTTTACAGTGCCCCAAAGAGTCACTAGACGTAAGTTGTTAATAAGCCTGTTTTTTCATGTTCCTTAGGTGCGTAAAGTTGATGCTCCAAAGGATCAGATGGACAAAGAATGGGATGAATTTCAAAAGGCAATGCGACAGGTCAACACAGTAAGTAATGGAATCTATTTTTATTGATTCTAAATACTATACACAATAAGGAAAACAACAGCTTCATGCAGCTCTGCAGAGTGACTGACATCTGCATTTGCCAGTTGTTTGTTGTAATGCAGTGTGTGGTTAAATGTGCTGTATAAATGAGCAAAGGGTTCCTTCTATTTTCCACTTGAGGGCAATTAAGTTGAAAAAACTTTTGATCAGGATCCAGTCATCAATATATATCTAGTTACGTTTGTTAAATCCTATTTAAATAAGATAGCATATACCTCAGATCAGCATCCTGTATCCAAACAGGACATAACTGAGGGCTCTTCTTTAGATGAGCTATATTCATATTTTAATCTTGAACAAAACAGAACAAAACACCACCTGTTTGTCTGTCTTCTTCAAAAAGGGTCTATAAAGTATAGGTAACTCTGGGTTTTATGGTTAATGGTTATGGTACTGGAAAGGAACCCCAAAATTTGGGAAAATGACAAAAGATTTTGTGTGTGAGAATCATAAGTTGGCTGCAATTTTTCTATACTTCCATTTTTTACTGTTTAGCATTGCATGCAAAGTCCTCTTGGAACAGGTTTTTGTCTGCCCTTTTGTACAATATAAAAACTGTCACTAAAGGTACCTGGTGTTCTCAATCTTCCCCTAGAATATTTGCTAGTTTTTTAATTGTAAATAATTGCTCATAGGTCAACTGCTAAGAGAAGTGGTGCAAAAAAATTTGTCATTGCTCATTTTAAAGTGGTCAGCACTATAAACAGAGCGAACGTTCATACAAAAGCAGTGGTGGATACATTTTGCTAGCATTAGCCATTCAGATAATTCTTCAGCTTAGAAGGAATCTTCTCAGTTATGCGTGGACCATTGATTGCATAGCATCTCCCAGACATTCAGATTTGAGAAAGTATATGCTGAAAAAAATAACAGGTTAGAAACACTTCGGGATCTAGTGGGAATATTTAACCAATACTTTCAATAAGCTTGTGTAATTAAGTCCCAAGCATTGGGATATAGCTCCTATTTCAGCCTCAGACTTTGGGTGCGTGTAGTTTGTTTATGCTGAGTGTCAAATTGTAGCGTATTGAAAAATTCGAAAGGTTAACCCCAAAGCAGCCAAACTACTTTTAACTTTTAAGAAAAAACATTTCCGTTTCAAATTAAACGAGATCATTTTTTTCTGTATTTGCCTCCAGAGTCTTTTGTGAAGGTGGGAGTATGTGTATGGGAGGTGGACATTGACTTGAGGCAGAGGGGAGGAAGGGAAGACACAGACATCAAAAAGGAACAACAGTGGAATTCAGGGTGAAGGTGAATTTTCTTAGTGCTTTTCTGGTTTAGATTTCAGAAGCAATAGTGGCAGAAGAGGATGAAGAGGGACGACTAGATCGTCAGATTGGAGAAATTGATGAGCAGATGTAAGTAGATCAATTTTTCCTCAAACTTTCTGTTCTCCGGCAGCAATGGATTGCTATTTGACTAGAGTGATAAAACATTTTTAATTTTAATCTTCTGTGATACTACCTTTCATTTAGTCATCTAACTATTTGAAGGGGAAATAGAGACTCCCTCAAATTGCAGAATGATACCTAATAAAAACCTGAATTTTGGTGCAAAGTTAGGTAATTATTTGCAAAGAGAGAATGCACTAGAATCACTGAAAATACAGCAAGCAGGCCTGGGCAAAATGAAGCAATAGAAGACAAATTCTTTGAACAAACTGTCCGCCTTCCCCCTCTCAAATGTCTTAATTTGTATTGCTCTGTGAATTCTGATTGATGTAAAATTTACATGAACATTTTTTAAAACATAAGGTCTGATACTCTGCACTGCAATTAAAATTTCAATAACAAAATTTGTGTTTTGACCATCCATTTGCTGTACTGAAAATGTCCTGCTCTGTGACTACCTCTCCTTGTTTCTAAGAAAAGTTTACTTAAAGGTTTTGTTGAATGATGCACTTCATTACATGAAGTGTGTTTTGTTTTGTTTTTTTGAAATGGTAGGTGTAGCAGTTGGGTAAGCATTAGTTTAAACTCTAAGTAACCTGAAATACAGCTTAGTGGAACAGATAGTTACCATTATCATGTAGCTTAACACATTGATTAACAGTGATTATGGCAATGCTAGTGATTGAAAAGAAAAAGATGAATTCTGATTTTAATGCACCTTGCAACAAAAAGAAGATGCTAAGAATTAAAGCAACATATAAGCCATCGGGCCAGATTGACACGCTACAGATAATCAGCATATAGTAACAATAGCGTGGGGTTCAAACTGAACTTTGGTAGTACAGGGATGTCTTTTAACGATGTTCATGTAATTTTGGAGAGGGCTTGAGCTAAACCTGGCTGTCTTTGAGCATTCATTTTTACCAGTAGCTTAGGATGCCATAGTATGTAGAACCAAATTCAGAAATTTGTAGAGAATTTCACGTTTGTTACCATAATTATTTTTCCCCAAATAAAAGTTCCAAATAGATTTTTAAAGATTGTTTTTGCAGCTTTGTCTTCTGAGTGCATTTAAATGTAGGCTATTTCAAATGAAACTGAATCAAATCAGATTGATTCCAGTGACATTCATGTTTTCCTTAGCCTTCAAATCTTCAGCTGTGACTGCTTGTAAGTCATTGTATTGCAGATACGCAAAGGGAAACAGGATCCAGATAATAATCTTTCCTTGTTGGTTTTTCCTAGCAAATAGGAATGAAAGCAGTAAAGATGTATTTAAATCAGGCTGATACTACTTGGCATTTTCAGCAAAATACCCTGTTAAAATGGCTAGAATGATTGTTATAAAACATATTTCAAGGACAGAACTTCAAGTAAGTGGACAACTGAAACGTATGGATTGTGTTTCCTTAAAATGTTCTGTTATAGCATACAGTAAGCAGGTAAAGGATCTGAACACTTGTGCTGCTTTTTTATTTTCTGAGATGCCAGCACTAAGTTATCAAAATTGATAGCCAGCTGATATCTCACCTTTCTACCATATATGAAAACCATAAATGGACAAAAGAATGGCGTCTTTTCTTGTGAGGAAGTGGGTATTAGCCCTGTGCTTTTTTTTTTTTTTAAATCTTTTGTGATGGTATTGCAGTTCTTAAATATTTGGATTAGATCTCATTGCTGGCAAATTGACCACACCTCTCCTCTGGTCTGTTTCCACTTGAATAATACAGAGAAGGTGCACTAGCATATCAAAAGCTTATTTTTCAATCGATGGGAAGCTGTAGAGCTTTCTTTATCCAAAGCTCAAGAACCAAAATCCAGCACTGTAGAAAATCCAAATAATGTGGAAAGGCCACAAGCATTAATAGGTGGTTTACTTTTCAACAGTGAATGTTATCGCCGTGTTGAGCTTTTGCGTAACCGCCAGGATCTGATGAAGGAGAAGTTAAAGGAAGCCATGAGATTAAAAGCAACTCAAGAGAAAGAGGATGAGGCTATTGGTAGCGAAGATGAAGAAGAATTGCAGGATTTGCTGTCTCAAGACTGGCGGGTAAAAGGGGCTTTGTTGTAGCATTTCTGCAACATGGTTGATATTCTCTTTATCCGTGATGTTACTTCCGTTGTTAGAAGTGAGATGCTTATGTTAAATATTTATTTAAAGAGGATTGTGAGATGGTAAAGAGCCAAGTGTATTAAACAAAAAAAATCTTTGTAGATCTACAATGGTGTATTACTTGCTGTAAAAACTGTATATTGCAAATGTTTTACAATATTGAATGTACCTTTCCTATTAAAATTACTGGTTTCCTACCAGCAGTATTTTGATGGAATTAATAAGTAACTGAAGAATTTCTGAGGTTTTGGAAGCATTAGATATATCTGGTAATTTTGAGACTTGGATTATTGTGTGTAGAAGTAAAGAACTAGCAAAAGCGATAGCGTATGGAGCTTTCCCAGATTGAGGGGTTAGGGAAAGGAAAATATTACGCGTTTATGTTATCTTAAAGCTTATAAGTGCTCATCCGTCCATTGCCCCAGCTCCCAATGATATATGTACATTTTTTTCAGGATCTGTTACAGTTTCTCTGTGTATGTAAGGGCCAACCTCAGAAATGTTGAGCTACAGCTTCTCCACAGTGTATGCTCTGTGATGTGCCATAGGCAGTGCTGGGTATTTTTCTTTATAGTATCTTGTTTTGTTTAGTGCAGCCTAGTGTAGTGTACCTCACATTTCTTGAATCAGAGGGATGAGAACACAAGGGTTATGTATTTGCCTAACTAAATAAAGGGGTGACAAAATGCTAGAGGGAGGTACTGCACTGGAAACTGATCAGGTAAAATGATTTATCGAGCTGCAAATACTGGAAGTTTTCTTAAGGTACTATCTTAGGCACAGAGAGCATCTAAAGTTGATTTCTGATAAGCACAGATGAAGTAAGATCAGGAACCAACAACCTTGACAAGACTGGGACATGGAAAGCAGAACTACCTTGAGCTTTGGTAAGTGTCTTTGTTTTTTAATGAAGCATATTTTTTTACTTTGCAAATCTTAAAACATTTCACATTTGCTGAGGACTTTTGAAAGAAATAGGAAAAATGTGGCATTTAACTTTTATCAAAAAGCAAAGTTGTGAAGGAACGGTTTAATATTTTCCTGTTTTTTTAAGATTCTAGTTTTAAAACAAGTTAGTGAGGTTTTAAAGGGAGAAAACAAGCTTTGTTCTTTTGAGAGCATTCCAGATACTTGCCTCAAAGATGCTGTTGTTTAACCAAGCAATAAAGAGAAAAACTAAAGCTAGGTGTTTGATTTGCCTGTTTTGGAAGAAAGACTTGATATGGTGGGAGCCCTTTCCGTATCGTCAGATGCTTTTTTACCACTCTTGGTTTCTGTGATCCTTGGATTCAGCTCTTTATAAAGCTGTCAAAATTCAAGTAATGGTCCTTAGCAGTTTTGGTGCCTCCATTTACTGCTCCTCACATATGCTGGCTTACAGTTGTCATTTTTTGACTTAGTAACCATTACGTGTGAGTAGCTGTTACTGCTAAAAATGTTTGACACAACACTACAGATTTACATGAGTCAGTACTGTTGTTGAGATAGCAACATTGGGAGAGTATTGAAACAATTACATGAATGTTTTGGCAAGTTGGAGAAAACTTAGTTGGGCCAAAACTGAAATAAAATTTCCTTCTATAGCGTGAAAGACTTGAATATCAATCTACAGGGTGCCTATTATGCTGTAGCGAAAGATTTCTAGATCCATTTATCACTATAAAGAGAACTTCCAGCTGAGAGGGTGGTACAATATTAAGACTGGTAGAGTTTTGTTTGTTTTTTTGTCCCCAACAAAAGACACTCCCCGAATTTCGCTCTGAGAAGAGCTAAGCTCAGTTTCTAATTGTTCCACTTTGCTTTTCACTGACCTCGCTCACCAAAGCATACTAGGTTGTTAATTCTGAGCTTTAGAGCCACGCTCTGCATTTGGCTTAACGTCAGAGAAAGAGAGGTGACGACAGTCAGGTTGCACTCGGTGCCATGGACATACGTGTTCGTACAGTATGAAAAAAGTTAATCTCTGCCTTTATAACTTACACTTTCATTTTGTACACGTATCTGTAACTTTCGTTTTGTGCCTGAATCTGCAAATCATGGTTTCAACTGCAGGTAACTAGGAAAGGAGCCAAGCACTAGAACAGTTGAGCAGCTTTGGGTCAGTTGCCCTTCTCTTCAGAGATGCCTAGAGGTGAGACACTAAAGGCGGTGAGTTTAGTGACGCTGCAGGGAGCTTGTACATTCCAATCCCAGGCAGTGCAGCCCATTGTTTTATTTACTAGGGATAGAATGGCAGGAGTAAACACCAGCTCACTCGTCGCTCTGTTTGTTATCCTTGCACAACTTTGAAAGAGTAAAGACGACGGACTAGCCGTACAGTGGGCGTGCGTGCTGCTGAGGCAGTGACTGAGGGCAGTGCTCCCTCCTGCTTGTTGAGGAGTTGGTGCTTTTTTCCTTGGAGGAATCTCCTAGATCCAGAGTGTTGTATGCAAGTTGTGTACAGCTTATTGCGTACAACTGTATGTTTCTTCAGCATTTGAAACAAAGCTTTTAGGAGAGCTTCGTGAAGAAGATAGGAGTGACTCTGCTTTCTGTATCCTGCGTGAGCACTGATGTACATGTGCTGTTGTGTCAAGAAGGCGAGAAAGCATCCTGCTTTCTAGCAATGACGGCAGGATGGCTGCAAGGGAGAAGAGGGAATTATCCCAACCTTACTGAAGAGTCAAGCTAATTTATCAAGGTAAATGATGTCCTGTGTCTTAGAAAAACATAGGCATAATTAATTTATATTTTAAGTCTGTCCTCAGTTTTAGAAAACAATTTTATGAACTTCTGATGAGCTATTCAGCTAGATGATTAACCAGAGAAAATAATTGTTTTTAAAAATATGTACTTCCTTAATTTCTTTCTAACTTCTTAACTTTCTGAATTCTATTTTCAAACAATAAAGATTAAAGTAGTCCCAATGACTAGCTCTATCCATAGCCACTATTAAAAATGAAGTTTTGATCTCTGGCACAGTGGAATTGAGAAGAATATTTTAATTCTCTGATCTTCAGGACTTCCAGAAAACTGAAGAATCAGAATTAAGGGGGAAGATTGAGCATTTGTAATCCTTATTTATTGCTATAATAATGAAGAGTGTTGCCCAGATTTAAGAACTGTGGAATCTCAGGCCACCAAAAAATAGTTGCAATTCCCAGCTCAGTGGTTTTGAAACTGGCAAGTGACTTCGAGGGCCAAAACGTGCACGTGTGCACGCACGTTTGAAACGAAGGCCCGAGCCGCAGCTCTGCAGGGAGCAGGTGACCGGAGCTGCTGCTGCCGCCGCCAGTTGTGGGTAGTTCGCTGTTCTCTGGCACGTGCGGTTGATCACAAATGGCGACCTGTGTGCTAACTTCTCTGCCATCGCGGATGAAATAAGCTGCTGCTGTCGTGACTGAGAAGTAGACGTGGGAAAAGGGCTGTATTTGGTATGGAGGAGCCCAAAAGTCATCGTGCAAAAACGACCAAACCAAAATAACAACAGCAAAGGAAACCATGTTCTCATTTGCTAACATGATTGTTTGTCATTCCTCCACTGAAGCATGTAATTTTAAAATTTGCTTCGGAATCACAAATACTAGTTAAAAAGAACATTAACGTTGGCTTTGGTCAGGCCCCCTGCCAATAAATTCAATTTGAGGAGGGACAAATTTTGCTTATTACATGCCACTGTAATTAAATTCTCTGCACTTTACCATCTTAAAAACACCGAGCTAGAAATAGCTCTAATGAGAGAAGTCATATTACTCAAATATTTTCAGCACTTACGAATACTTTCTTACAATCAAGGAAGATTGCACTCGGGAATCAGACATTCAACTGATGGGAATCATGCTGTAGCTGTCATTAGAAACCATAATGTGAGTCTATAATGTTTGAGAAATTCCCCTTTGTTAGGTACCACCAGATGAACTTGACATTTCTCTTTCATTTCGGTCACTGTCTCGAGACAGACGCCCGTCTGTTAGAGAGACGATTTAATGTTGATTTAATCAACATTACTGTGTTCCTTCCTGGAACCGAGGGGTAAGCAGACTTCAGTGGCAAGGCAGGCGCTGTGCGCTTGTAGCCCTAGAAAGCGTCGCTCGGGCCAAGAGGCTGCCGTTTTCTGCTGTCGAAGCAGTTTTTCAGTATCTGCCTTCATTTACTCTTCAGTTCATCACTTCACTTAGAACTGTCCTGGGCTGTTAGCTGGGAAGAGAAATGCGAGCAACTCCCCTGTGTAGACATCTAAACCAGGTCTGTTTTCCAAAAATACAGCGGAGGGACTGAGGCCCTGCGTAACTGGTGGTTACAGCAGTTACGCGGGACACGAGAGAGCTCTCTTCAAATCCCTCCTCTCTAGGCTGTCCTGTGAGCACACAGTTCCTGCGGGCTAGCTGAGCAGCCTGGCAATTGCAGTCTTTCCTGTAGAAGCTGTGTAAAATGACGGAATTAGTGAGCATGTGTGACGTTCTTGTTTGATAATCGCGACACTCGCCCGAGAAGGGGAAGGTCCTGTTCCAAATACAGCAATAGTGCTGGAATGCATTCAGCCGAGATTTGAGGCTACGGAAGAAACTGGATTTGGATCTCCTCCTTCCCGGGGAGGCACTCTTGTTTTCATGCTGCTGGGTATTTAAAAATTAAAAAAAAAAAGAGGGATGCTTCCATTTCTGCCTAGTTCGGCGGGGAAGGTTCAGGGCATGCTTCAAGCCTGTCTTGTGAAACCTCACAAGGCACCTTGCCCATGCAGCCCGGTGAGGCTGAGGCACTTAGCGGGTGCCTACCCTCACGGCGCTGGTGAGATTTATGCTGCTGGCTTCCCAGGAGCCTTGACTGGCACAAATGTGCACCTCGGGGCCCAGAGATGCCTTCTGGCTACGTCCGAGAACAGAAGGCGCTCTGCGTGTTAGCCATGGACCAGCTTATGCGGCTGAACACCTCTGACTTTCTTTGTTTTCTTTCCAGTTCACTATTCCAACAGCATTCCTTTTGCTTCCTACTTTTTTTCACTAGAGAAACACGACAGGGCTGCTTGAATTCATTTGAGATGTTTGCCAGAACTCCGATACCGATTTGGTGATGTGAAAGCTGCAGACCTTGTGCTCTCTCATTTGGAAGCTCGCAGTTAGGTGGGCAGTGACCTTTTCATATCGGGTGCATGCTTCCTCTTATCTACCTTTGGGCATGAGTGGTTTAGTTTTCTATCTTGGATAATATATTATTTTTTC